GAAGAAATTGAAGATAGAGAAAATCCATACAGACTTAAATTGGTCTGACATGATGACTAAGTCAATACCAACCAAGAAGGTTGAAGATTGTTGTCAAGGTGCTGGTGTCGTGGTACCTTCCAACTAAAGACAGGATGCAATGATGGAATGAAGGATGGAATACCCATTTTGAGTTTTATGGGGGAGTTTTGTTGGATAAAAACAAAAATGGGACTCATCCACATGCTGAAAAGAAGGGTCAATGTTTTCATATACCATATATTGAGGAAGAATGTCTTCCACCTTCCCTAAAGCTCCATAAATTGCTTCAATGCACCAATCATGTTTCTTGTCCTTTCTTACTTCATTCATTATAAAATAAATGCAAAATGTGCAGCAAAACACAACTCACCAAGAATCAAACGATGAAGAAAGAATTCAAGAGGAGAAAGAGAGAAAGCCACGGGTACTACCGTGAAGAGAGAAACATAACCGAGAGGTGAAAGACACTGTGTAGTAGAAACTATGAGTGTGCAAAAGAGAGTTTTTTTGTATACCATTCGAGAGGGTGAGATTTATTGAGAGATCCTCAGAGAGTGAGAGAAATACTGTAATCCTACTTTCATAGTGGACATAATTTTCTGGACAAGGTCCCGTGGTTTTTCCGAGAGAATTTTCCACGTTAAAATTTTCGGTGTTATTTTTTCTTACGCATACACTTTTATTTTTACGCTTCCGCATAATGCCCATTTTGGGTTAGCAGAGGAGGGAACAAATACCGCTGTTTCCCAACAAACCTTGATCAGCATAGAACTCATGCCAATGAGTTGGATAAACTTACACCTGTTGAGGAATATGCATGCCCAATATCTTTAAGGTTGATGTATGACCCTGTTGTCATTGCTTCAGGAGAAACATATGAAAGGATGTGGATACAAAGTTGGTTTGATGAGGGTAATACTATATGCCCAAAAACCAAAAAGAAACTGGATCATATGGCATTGACTCCAAATATTGTCTTCGAGGACCTAATATTAAAGTGGTGTGAAACTAATGGAGTCTCCATTCCTGACCCGAGTATTATCCTGTTTTCATTGAACATTACGCATGTCTTAATTTGGCTTTACCCTGTTATCAAACTCATTTTGTCTATGACTTTCTTTTTCTTACTCATAAGTTAAATTAAAAACCATTTCAACCTAGTGTGGTATTTCAGGGTCAGCTGAACAGGAATGGAGCTACCTTAGGGGTGGCCTTACAACTATTGATCGTGACTATGGATGGATCAATAACATTCACCATGACATTGGAACCATGTCATTCATAACCTTTTCCCTCAAATACCACACTATCACTTAATAGGAGGAGTGAGTGTCCCTCTACTGCACTTCTTTTGATGAATTAAAGGAATGGTAAATTTATACTAACCGCACACTCTTTGGAATTTGTCTTTGCTCTATTATAGACTGAGGCAGCTAAACCAGTTCTTGGTCAATATTACCGAGAGCCAAAGAAGTCTAGACCTTTTGCTCAAACTCAAACACCAATGATGAATGATAATTGAATAGAAGCCCTTTTGCTTGTGAGAGTATTGAACTTATGTGCAAAAGTTAAGATGAATGATGCCACATGCGGCACTCCATTACATTTGCTTGTGTTGGTGTTAACTTTCTTTGTTTGTTTCATTCACCTTTCATATCATACTAATTATTATCTCAGTTATAAATAACATATTTTCCTAAGCATTCTGTAAATATTGTGGCTTTTGATTACTTGTTTCCTGGCTTTATTGCAGGCTTGCATTAGTTGATGCTAAAAAAAAAAATTAGTGGAGTTCACAGACACAACACAGTTGGAAGTGCGTACCAAATAGTACAAGTATTAGAAACCTCAATAAACTCAACGAGTTCAACGTATATTAGTTTGAAAGTCATATTAGATTTTTTAGTCAATTTTACAATACTTTTTAAACATTATGTATTTTTGTTTTTATTTTTACATTGTAATTATTATTGAATATACATTATCTTAAATCATTAATAAAATAAATTTTTGATTAATTTTTGTATAATTTACAATTTTATATATATTATTATAAAAAAAATTAATTAAATTAACAAATTATCAAAGTAGGTGAGTAATTATAAATAATAAAATATTTAAAACTTTCACAAAATAATAATCACTAATAAAATATTAAAACTTTTTACATTTTTTTTTACAAATTAGTTGTGGCAACTCTAACGCTAAAGGTTTAAAAAACTCTTTGTAGAGAAAATAACTCTCAAATGAAAAAAAGGAAAAAAACTGCACTAAAAAACAATCTTTTTCACCGTAGTTATGGACGGCAAATGTGTTTGATCAACGTCAGCAACGTAATAGTGGCACTAACCCTGGTGCTAGGGACGTTTCTATTTTATAGCATTTGATGATACAAAATTTCATGAGATGAAAGAACACACTCCGATGACAAATAATGTGCTAAATCAACATCTTCCTAACCGTTAAACTGTTTAAACCGTTAAGAATAAAAGATCGGAGGTTTTGGATATTACTACATATAAGAAACAAGAATTTGACAAACATAACAAATTCTTCAATTTTTGTAATTTCTATTGTATCTTCAGCAAAGAAGGAGGGCCATTCCAAGACAGTGTGAGTTAAAAACAATGCCCAAGGTCTCTTGGAAACAAACAGGGAGTTCCTCACTATCTCCAAACCAAACACGTTGAAGCTTAAATTCTAAATAAATAGGATCCATATAATATTCAGGCATCCAAACCTCACAATTTCCCATAAGGCTAAGATTTAGAAAAATAAAGGTTACCCTTGAAAAGTGATTTCCTACAAAATGCTCATACTTTTAAAATATAGTTTGCTGTTAGATATACTATGAAACTAATCTAAATGCCGTTTGACTATGCATAATCACATTTGTTGCTAACTTTGAATGACCTTTTTTAATTGAAAATTTACCTCCTCTTGTTAAACATGATACACCAGTTTAATAAACACTAGCACAATCACAAACAGATTAGAGAAATATTGATGTCTTTTTCCCCCATCTAAAGAGTACAGGATATACAACCCTTCACCGATGTGTCATGCTCATAACAACTCTCTTCATTCTTGCATGCTATCTACCTGCGTTCACTCCTTTCCCCACACCCTTTTCTTATTCTTGGCCTCTAAAACCATAAGGAGACAACTTTTTTTAATGTGCTCTAGAATGGTATTAAAATCTCATCTTTCACTTTTTTCTATTGATGTTTTGCTGCTATAGTTTCAGCTTTTAATAAGAAACAGTCTCTTTTTTTGGTGTATAAATAATCTAAAACTGCATTTTATATAAACTGAATTTCTGGAGCATGTTGTCTGGTTTTGTTTCCTAACTTTTTGGAGATATTTCTTTGATACAACCTTGATGACAACAATCTCACCAAACATAACAGAAAAAAAGGAAAACATATTACAGTTGTCATTTTCCTATTTAAATGGAACTTCTGAGATGAGGAATGATTTGGAAAAACTTATCACTTCAACTATTCTATTTAAATGCATCAAAACAAATTCATAATGCGAATTTCGAGTACACATAATTTGGGACAATCATGAAGCCATCTATTCTATCCTGGGCTCACATAATTTGGGACAATCAATGATGATTGGTTCTAACCCAGATTTACAAATTAAAACCCCCTCGCACACAGTCTTTAGTTGTGGTAAACCTATTACTTTCAAACAGTTCAAGTTACGGAGTCTAATTTTGTTATTATCATCATATTCACCTTCATCATCTTCTTCTTCTTCTTCATCTTCATCTTCATCTTCATCTTCATCTTCATCTTCAGCGGTATCATCATAAGGCAGTGCAAATATTTGTTCCATTGAATCGCAGTGTGATACAGTTACAGATTCCAGATTTTGAAGGTGTCGCACTAACCTTGATGGCAACAAAATCTTTATTCTATGACATTCGTAGACATCCAAGGTTTTGAGATGAGAGAACATGCCTCTCGGAGGCAACTCCTTGAAAATGGTGGTTAAACTTTCCAAATAATAAAGCTTTAAAGATTGAAGGTTTCGGATACGGGTGCATAAGGAACAAGATGAACAAAACATGCTTGTCAGTTTTGTCCAATCCCGAATGCAAATTTCCTCCAAAGAAAAACTATCATTTGATGACAGAGCATCACATAAGCATACCCAATAATTATTGTAGTTTAGTAATAATTTCATAAGGTCTCTCGAAAGAACATGTGACAACTTTTTACAATCTATAAAAGACACAGTTCGACACTCAAATGTGGAAAGTCGAGATTCACGGCCCCGAAGAGGCATCTTATGCCCATTGTGCTTCGAATCAAGATAATCAATTAAATAAGTTTGAGTTCCATTAGCATTGTACAAGATTTCTCGCACATAACGATTGAGATTATCGTGATCGATAAATCTTTCTGCAAAACATTCAAACATTGTCATCCCTTCTCTACATCTTCTACTTCTATACCTCCTGAACAAAGCCAGAGATTCAGGTATTGAATGTTGGTCAAACTAGAGAGAAAACTTCCTGGTACCAATTCCAAATTGACATTATTGGACAAATCTAGCCATTTCAAGTTTATTAAATTTTCCAAACCTTCCGGTAATGCTTCTATAGAACAACCTGAAATCTGCAACCTCAACAATGATTGTAGCTCTCCCAATGGAGGTATATCATTTAATTCTGAACATTCATAGAGCATCAAAGAAGTGAGAGACCTCACGTTCGATAAAGAACGAGGCAAACTTGTTAGGTTATGCTTTTCTGATAAACCAAGTGTTTTTAGAGCATTCATGTATGTGAAAAAATCCTCCGGAATATGTCCAATTGAATTGTCAAATAAAAGCAAAGTGGATAAGCGTGGACAATTAAAAGATGTGCCATATGGAATCTCTTCTATAGTATTGTTAGCAAGAGAAACGGTTTCCAAATCAGTTGGCCATTCCAGTTCAGATATGCTTTTCATATATTCATTACATTTTAGCATCGTGTTAGCATCACTCTCCTTCAAGATATTCCAGGCCATTTTCTTCACCAGACCTTGCATTCTTAAAGTTGAATTATGCTCCAACAATAATGAATGGTTTATGAGTTTCTTCACTATGTTATTTCCCTTGTTAAATATTTTCTTCAAACTCCTCCTTCCATTTAAGAGTCCCATATCCACCAGCATCATAATCAAATCTTCCCTAACAAAAGACTTAGGTAGCAATGCACTGTATAAGAAACATTTTTTCACCTTCTTTTCAGCTAAATTGTCATAGCTACGTCTTAGTACAGTTATCACTTCTTTCTTCATCTCCGCTTTCATTAACCATTCATCAAATTCATCCAGGACATATTTCCACTCATGGATGCTAGTATTCCCTATCATGATTCGAGCCATCACACTTATTGCAAGTGGTAAACCATCGCATTTACTTACAACACATTTTGCAATATTTCGCACTTCAGGAGAAAGTTTGGGACGTGTCCCAAAGTTTTGAAGTCCTAGCCAAAACAACTCCCAAGCTTCTCCATATTCATCATCAGCATTGAAAGCCCCCACTTCTATCCTATTATCTGATAAGCACTTCATCTGTTGACACACATGTCTCAAGCGACTTGTCATGATTACTTTAATACCCTTTACTCCAACTCCAAGTGGAATTCCCACTTTTTCTAGATCAACATATTCCCAAATATCATCCAAAATAATTACTGTGTTTTTTCTTTTCTCCAACTCTGATTCTAAAATTATTGCTCTACTAGTCTCATTATCACTTTTGCAGAGGTTTACCTTTATTTTTTCTGCAATTTGTTGTTGCAATTTGAAGATGTTGAAATCATGAGAGACCGTTACCCTTAAGACATCCTCAAAAATTTTGCTTCTTATTATCTCACATTGGATATAAGTTGCTAGGAATGTTTTTCCGACCCCTCCCATTCCATATATGCCAATAATGAAAACTTGATCATCTCGCAAAAGCTTCCACATCTTCTTCACATTCCCTTCGAATTTCTTACCAACAAATTCATTTGACAGCACCATAGGCTTGCATTTCTTATGATTTTGCATTCCTTTAATCAAATCTCTTATTTCTCCTTGCACATTGAAATTAGGCCGACCAGACTCATTCAGTGAGTTTTTCATATATATACATCTTTGTTTCATATTCTGTAGTTTGTCAAACCACTCATCAACAATTCGCTTGCGCTTCTTGCCTTTTGACTTCAAATATTGTAGTTGTTGCTTAAGGTCGTCTTCTTCCCTTGTTAAGTTGGATATAAACTCATCTAAATTTCTTTGCGGAGTAGTCATGACAGTATTACCAAACTCTGCTTCATTACCTAGTTCATTGTTTTGGTGAATGTTAGTTCATTTAAGAGTGCTTATATATTTAAATAAAGGAAAAAAAAAATACAAAATACATCTTTTAAGTACAAACTCTAAATGTTTGTCGAAAATTCTTTTTATTAAATAATAAATACGAAAATAATATATTAAAAGTGATATGATACGGGTCTTTAAGTATTTTTAAATAAAGAGTTTTTAAAGAATAATTCATTTTTTTAATCGATCTATAATACATTATGTCAAAATAATCGTTGAAATATATATTACTTTATTAAAATATTATATATATATATATATATATATATTTTCTGAGCGAAAATATTTAATTAAACTTTTTAAATTTTATGCTTTTGGTTTTGTTCAGTAGATTTTTATTTTTACTTTTTATTCTACGTCACGAGAAGATGATAAACAAAATAAACACAATAAATCTATAACAAAGTTACATTCCTCTTAATATTGTTGATCTCAAAACCTTTTTATGGTTAATTAAACCACCAATAATAAATGTCATCTTATATGTATATATGCCATATCTAAACTTGAGTGTGTATTTTTGTTTTCCTAAAGGTTATCATTTAGAAAAATCTAAATTATACTAAACAATTTTATATACTTTTATATAAGAAAATTAGGGATGACAAATCCTCGTTAGTCTGACAGTTCGACAAAAAAGAAAAAAGCGCAAATTGGGCCAAAGTCTTTAACTTGACAGCCCAACAGTCAACAAACCAACCTGACATCCTAACCATAGCTCGACTGAACTTTGATACATTTTGATTGAGCTTTGAAACAGTTCGACAAAGTTTTGAAACATTTCAACCGAGATCTGAAATATCACTGTCAAGTTCTAAAACATCACTACTGAGCTCAGTACCGCTCGATCGAGTTCGAAAAAAATTTGGTCGAGCTCGAAAAGAACGATCGAACTCAAAAACAGTTCTCGAACTCAAACAGGTCGGACAAACCCAAAAACAACCCAGCAGCTAAGCCACCTGGTCTTCATTGGTCGATACTCAACCTGTTTTTGCAGGACCAAGGTCAGCTCGAGGTTGAAACGGGCCGAGTTGGTATGCTTTATCACCACTAAAGAAAATTAAATCCTAACAAAGCTGCATACCTTCTAATAATATTGATCCTATAGTTTTTCTTGATCGTTAATTGAACCACCAACCCTGTTACCATTTCCCCGTCCCTTTCCGATGATTAAAAATATTAGATGATATATTATATGTATACAATTAGGATGACAACATTTGGATCGAATACACTGAAAGATCTAAAGGTGCCTACGAAAGACTTATTTAAAACATATCTATGAATGTTTTAAAATCCACATATATTCATACATACGGGAGATACTTAAAAAAATTATATATTTATAAAATAAAAAATAAATTAAATTATAAGAAAATAAAAAATATAATGTAAATTAAATTTTATTTTAATTTTTTAAAAACATTAGACATGTGAGTACAGATATTGTAATTTATTTATAATCACTCCAACCTATTTATAAATCATATTAAATTATTTATTACTCGTTTAAAGTATTTACTATACATGTTATATACAAACTCAATTGTTTTTATTTTCTTAATTATAACTTATTTTTTCTAAAAGATGATGTTTAGGTTATCATTTAGAAAAGTCTAAATTATATTAAACGCTTTTATATAAGAAAATTGTATTTTTAATTTGTACTAATAAATTATTTAATAGTGATAAGGATGAGAGTGTTATATAAAATAGTAATATAAAACTATTCACAAAAAAAATATCACTGTATAGTGCGCCACTAAAAATTTTATAGGACCCCGATTCATTGAGATTTTTTATATTCGTGCAAGATTTAGACGGCTTGATCTTAAAGTTTATTCCATGATTAATTAAGTAAAAACATTAATAACTGTGTAAAAATTAATAAATTGAGCATTTAGATAGATAAAAGGAAATGTGAGTGCGAGAAGAAATAAAAATTAGTTGTACCTTGCGTCGTTCTGATGACATCGACATGTTGGTGGGAATGATGGGAAGATCTGATATCGTTAGGAGGAGTGGAGCACATAGGAATGCCTTTTCCTTCCATCAATATGAACTTTAAATTCTTGAAAACCCTCTTTGAAATTTCAGTCCTGTTTACACTTCAACCCACCATCTTCTTCTCTATCAATTTGATTCAGTAATGCTCATCTTTGGCCTATATCCATTATTATTATATTTCCTGTGCCCAAAATGAAATCTAATTAACATCACGTTTCTTAATCAAATTTCATGTTCACCACCTTAGACAGTTTTAAGGTTATTGACGGAGGGTTTAGTCAAAGTGTCGTCAATTGCAAAATGAGTAATGCATTCGGCTTTGGTCATAAGAACATTTCAATTCACATATCTTGCGAGGGATATTGCCATACATGAAGCTTAGTTAGTACAAAATTAATCTAATGCTTTTTGAAAGGAAAAGGGTCTCTCAAGATGAATGCATAATCCTGAGTTAGAAAAATCAACCCAGATCTAAAATCCTAATTGGTCAAGCCACATCATACTTCCAACTAACATCAATAAAGAAAAGCTATTTTCCTCTCACGAATTCAAAACACATAACAAACCAGTGGCTAGGGACAGGGTGATCCTGCACATGAATCGTTTCTTGTGTGGTAGGGTTGAAGGGATATCTATTTCTAAAGAGTGAATTTTCATTCAAAGAGGTAAGAAACCATAAACAGCACATGATGCAATCATTTTCATTAGAAAATCAGAAAGAAAAAATGAGTTACCGAATAAAATCCTTCTTCCATGTGGTTGATGGCTGAATGCAGCAAAGTACTCCTCCTTTAAAGTATCAATTTAGTTTCTAAAATCGAGGAGTGATTTGCGAAACCAAGAGAAAAAAAATGCATAAATTAAGTATTGAATTGACTGTAAATGGTTTTACTATGTAGGCTGTTCAAGGGTTAGACTCGGTAATTGGTCGAAATTCCTGAATATTAAAAATTTGAAGAACTTATTTCTCAACTTATTTTTATAATTTTGCATTTACTCCATTTGTTTGCTTTGGATTCTCTCTTCACATTTGTTGCCCATCATTTCCATTTGCTCGTTTTCATCTCTTGCTTTCAAAATATTCAGTTTTATTCCACTTCCGTTTTCGTTCCCTTTCGTGTCCTAACTTCCATATTGGTTGGCTCTCATTGTTTCTTCGCTGCTTCAAGGTATTTTTATTTAAAAAAAACCTGAGTTAGGGTTTTTATTTTTTGTTTAGAAACTCTGAAATCGAAAACACTAATGTTAACGAGATGTTTATGATAAGCTGTTTCTCACTGGACCGCTATTGGTTTCGAGATTTTCGCAGGTTGGGATTGTGATTCTTGTCACGAGTTCCGCCCTCAGAGATATTGTCTCAGTTTGGCCATATAACAAATGAATAGTTTTT